TTTTTATTTGTTCTTTTTAGTTATACATGACAGTAGAATGTATTTTGACATATATGTACGTTAAGTATAACTTCCCATTCTTGTGGTTGTACATGATGTGGAGTTACACTGGTCATGTATTAATATATGAATGTAGGAAAGTCATGTCCAATTCATTCTACTGTCTTTCCTATTCCTATCACCCTACCCTTCCCCCTATTCCTCTCTCTACTTCCCCCTTCCAAACTGGTGAATTTGCACACCCCTACCCCATCCCCCTTTGAGAGTCAGCATTCAGAGAGAACATTAAGCCTTTGGTTTTGGGGGATTGGCTTATTTCACTTAGCATGCTAGCCTCCAGTTCCATCCAGTTACCTGCAAATGCCATAATTTCATTCTTCCTTATGACTGAGTAATATTCCAATGGACATTAATTTTTCATTTCCCTGTCATCTCCATTAATCTGCTGATTTTCTCTTCTTGGTCTTTCTTTTGGAGCATACATGGCATTATTTCATAGAAAGTCCCTACTGGGAGTATTTCTGAAGTCTCTAGTAATTAATTTCAAGTTATGTGCTCTTGGAACACCACAAGAGTGATGTAGCATTTCAATTCAGCTCAGGAACTACATGGTGCCAATTTTGTTCTAATTTGATTAATGGCTAAAGTGGTTCCACTAGATCTCCCTTTGCAATTAGCAAGTAATGAATGGGAATACATTTGACAGTATGTAGACATCATGTTCCTTCTTGAGCCTTCATCTACCAGTTTAAGCAACCTTTTCCCCCCCTAAAACCATTATTACTTTGATAGTTGCAAATGGTGATTCTTCTTATTCCATTACTCCTTCTACAAGTCTGTGTTAGTTGTCATTCTACTGTAATAAAACAATCTTAATTTATTTATTTGTTCATTCATCTATGTCAATATGGACTCATTATTCAATGGTCTACAATAAATTACTATCATCGTTTGGACTGTTAAGTTCCTTCAGATATGATCAACAAGAATCTCTTCAAGTTAAGATTATGAAAAGAATTTTCTGCCTTTTATTTCTCAATTGACTACCATTCCCTTCAATCAAACCCATTCTCACCAAGGAATTAAAAGCCTCTTTTAGGGTAAATCAATGGACAATTTCCAATCCTTACCTTTTGATCATTCTTTCTGCAACCTTTAACATCACAGATCATTTTTCCCTTCTTGAATTCTTCTCTTCTCTTGGCTTCCATACTATCATATTCTTCAATTCACAAGAGACTAACTGGAAAAAGGAAGTCCATGTAGAATCCATTCTGCTGGGGAGGGTGTCATCAGAACTACCTAGTCTCTCAGTGGCTGTGGTCATAGAGTCTGACCGTTGGAATAGAAACACATTTTTGATGCAGCATCAAAATGCCTCATCAGACACGTTCTGAGTGTGGTTTAAGGGTTTAGTTCCTGACAACTTAGCATTTTTCTAATCTCCCAACACTTACATAGACTGTCAAGAATCCTTTTATTAATAGTCCATTTCCACAATCAGTCAGGATTGGCTGTCGGAGACCAGCTCCAACAGGGGGTCTCAGGAGACGAACGGATGGTGAGGAGTCGGCGAAAGAGGGGGTGGAGAAACAACACAGACACCAAAGTGAAGGTGTTGATCCCAATCTTTACTTGTGAAGTTGATCATATATACTTTTTATTTTG